CTACCACTGAGAATATTTTACGTCGAACACGGTTTATCTCATTAGAAGGCGAATGCTTTACCCCCTCAGCTGCCACAGTTCTTTTAAAAAAAATAAGGAGACAAGGCTAGATTTTTTTTTAAAGTCTTTTTTTTTTTTTTTTTTTTTTTTTTTTTTTTTAAANTTTTTTTTTTTTTTTTTTTTTTTTTTTTTTTTTTTTTTTTTTTTTTTTTTTATCTTTGCTAAAAGGATTTTCTTTTTTTCTTGCTTGCTTGTTGAAAATTAAAAGTTAAGATGCACTTATTTTCTTTAAATGAAATATTGAGGTATGTATATCTAATACTCTGGCAACAAAATAACTTTATAAACTTGGTAACAATGCAACATTAATTAAGTTATCTCTTTTCATCGGGGCCGTTGGTATCCTGCCCTGATAATTTACGATCTGTATGAGCAGATGATGGTCACTCACAGAAACTAGTCTTTTGAGTTTCCTTTAGAATTTATGAGAGTCATTGACTTGCCTTTAGTAAATTCTCCACGCACTATGTTCTGCACAAAAATTTGTTTTATGAAGGTAGGCGATTTTCTGCAAAGAAAAATTAAAAGTAGCGAAAATTGGTGCAACATTGCTCTATTCACAAAATACGTTTGACACTAGATTTTCAGCAAAAATAAATTAATTAAATAGGCGAAAGGTGGTTCCTGATTTGTCAGAAAAATTAACAATTACTTTGTTAGAAGAGAGGAATAACAGACACTCCTTGAATATTCTACTGCAGGGGTTTCCAACTTACATGAGGTCGGGGGCCACAATTAAAAACACTAATCAAATGGCGGGCCGCAACTTAATCAAAATTTTATGTAGGAATCTTTTATGTTTGAAGGAACATTAAATATTACTGTCAGATTTTTACCAAGTTGTAAAAAACAATAGTATTAAATTACAAATTAAAATAAGTAGATTTTTAAAAATATTTAATTGCATATTAAAAAATTCGGGCTACAATAACTTTAATGTGCACCTATGTATTAAACAATTAATGTGCAACAGATATCTATTTATGGAGATATAAAACTTTAAAAAGGTTGGTATTAAAACTTGCTTATTAGCACACAAAATGTTCAATGAGAAAATTGAGGTTTGTCTGCTGCAACCACCAGAGAATAGATATTTACATTTTAAATTTACAAATGTGTGTGTAAATATTTTCGTCCAAAATGAGTGGTTTCAAAAAGTTAAATCAGAGAATTTCTCCGAGGAAATTTCTGATACACGCATGCTAAATTATATTCACAAAATGCAAAAAAATGAAATAAAAAAGAGCAACATACACTATTATTTTTGTATTTGAATAAATATTTTCCTGGATGCAAAGTCTGAGAAATAAATTTTTTTGCACCGTTGGTATGTTAAGTTTCACAGAAACGAAGAAATTAGGTTTTTATTAACGAGAAAAGTATTTTAAACCCATACTGATTTTTTGCGAAAATTGTTCGCAAAAAAAAATGACAACTAATGTATTTTAGTTCGCGGGCCGCAAATAAAAGCTTCGCGGCCCGGATGCGGCCCCCGGGCCGCCAGTTGGAGACCACTGTTCTACTGCATAGTGCATTTAAGGAAAGCATCCATCTAAAATTTTTATAAGTTCTTCAAATTCCAAAATTGTATCAGCAATTGCTGATTCAAGTTACTCTTTGCTTCATCATCTTAAAAAAAATTACAAAATGTATTGCATTCCTTCACTTAAGTAACAATTTTATAAATTTTAACTTTTCAAAATACATTTATTTAAATGTTTTATAATCATTTTGTTTTCTTTTATTTTATCACTATATGATTTCGTTAAAATGCTACAATTTTAGTTTTAAAAAAATTCAAAATATACGGTTTTCCTTTAAATTAATATAAAATAATGTGAACTTGTTAGAGTAGTGGTGATTTTTTTTATTATTATTAAATCTTAGTTCGCTTCTTTTTCTATTCTTTTATGTTTTTTCCTTCTGTGATTTAAAATATTTCCAATTAAAATTATTTAATGAGTCTAGAATATTATAATTTTAACCGTTAAATTTGTCAAAACAGATTTTAAAAAATAATATATATTGCTATTACATTAATTTAATGTTGATTTTTAGAATTCAAAATTTTATGGGTTTCTATATTTTTCTTACTTTCAGTTTTATTCTTTTGTTATTTTATCATTATTACAGTTAAAAATTTGTACAAAAATGAAAATTATAACATTGTTCGTTAACCCTCCTCTTGATAAATTATAATCTTAAATATATATACGAGATATTTTTTAAATAAAATTCAAAATACTGTTTTTTTATTTTTCCCTTTCCTAAATTTAGTGATTACATTTTAATCTTTTTATTTTCACTTTCCTTCTGATTTTTTATAAAAATAATGATAATTTTAAAATGTCCGAAATATTCTTCTTCGATCTGCACGATAGTCGTTTCAATTTGGCAACAAGTCGTTTCCATTTGATGATTGGGCTATCAGACGATGAGTTTCCATTGATTGATGCCCATGGTTTTCAGATAAATAATTTTTTTAAACATTAACATATTAAAAATTATATCACTGTATTTGTTTGTTTTTCTAATATCCAATGAAAATTTTGCATTTTTCCATAGCGTCAAGTTTTTACTTTTAAGTATTAAATATAAATAAATTTTTGATTTCAAAGTCTTAATGAATAATTTAATCTTTTTTGTGGCATATTAGGTGAACCAGAAATTAATGTTGTTTTTGTCACATAAAATTGTAAATTATTTTTAACACGTTTTTTCTTATAATCAATTATGTAAATATCCACATTTTCAGAAACCTATTGCTATCTAGCTTGCAAAATTTAAATGCACAATTACTAAAAATCATTTGTACTTTTAAGCAAAATATCAGGAACAGGCATTTTGGAAATGTCAAAGCAATCAGAATATATGGAAATATGCTGGTGTACGGTCAGGCAATTATGATGGGTGATCGAAATCTAAATTTATTTAATAATTTTTACTCGACAATTTAAGTAATTCAATTGATGTGCAAAACAATCCTTGAAATACAAATGAATCGGAAAGGGAAAAAAAGCCAGGAAAATAATTTTAAAAGTGAATAGAATATAGAAATGTACTGCTATTTATATTAAATATTCTGCAGTGATTTCCCGTAATCAAGTAAAATACTTTTGAATGAAACATCTGAACCCGGTATCAGAATTTAGGGTGTAAATCTGCAGCACTATATTCGAAAATCGAAATTTATGTACAACATCAACGAAGTCAAATAATGATTATATAAAATCCAGCTTAAACTAACAAACATGTAGTAAAATCTGCAAAATATCCTTGAAAAATTATAGATTTAATTTTTGTTCAAGTTTAAGTTGAATTTTATACAATAATACCGAAAAAAATGGAGCAATTTGTTATACAGTTAAGTCTAATCAAGTAACAGAAAAAAAATCTGTACTTTTCGTACTCTGTGGTGTTCTCAGAATTCATCTTTTAAATTTTTATTAGAAGCAAGATTATAGATGTTTTAAAAAGTAGTCTCAGAAAATTTTCACCATTTGTTTGCTTACTTTTTAGCGATAAAAAAACGCAAATGATAAATAATCTTCAGATTCTAAAACAATCTGTAGCTGGAGGATTTCTGCTAACGGGCATCTGAATAACTCAATATGTATATATTTAAACTATTTTGAATTTTTTGTAATATTTTGATCAGGTTTTATGTTTTTATTACTTAAAATATGTAGAAATGCAATGTGATCATTATTTAATAAAATAATTTTTTACTTTGAAGGGTAAGATTTATAACTGCGTGATTTTTTTTAACACGCATAACTGATAAGTAGATAAAATTTAAATATAATACAGGTATCCAACATTTTGATTGCTCTTCTAAAATTGCTAAAAGTACCAAAAAAAATTTTTTTTTGCTCTATAGAATTTACAATAAAAGTATATTATATAAGTAGTTTGTACCGCATTTTTATTAAAAACAAATAAATAAAAAAAACTGCAGAATTTAATTTATTTTTAAAATTATCACTAAAATTTATTTTACTCTGTAAACACCTATTATTAGTATCCATAAAAGAAAGGAGCGCCAAAAATATTTTTGTTTACACTTAAAAATCGGACTGGATTGGCTGCGGTTACCACCACGGTTCTTTAAGGTAAAATTATGCTTGTTGAACCTAAAAGAAATGGAACTGCAATTAATCAAGATTATGAAGATAAAAGTGTTCTTTATAGCTTTAAAGTTATATTTTATTAAACTAGAGTTATCTAAAGTGTTTTATTGGCACTTTTCATAGAAGTACAAAAGACACACAAAAAAAGTGTATAAAAAAATATACAAACTGTTCTAAGAATATAGATTATAAATATTCAAGTAGACAATAACAAGATACGAAAATATGTATGAATTCAACTCAGAGATACTTTCATAATATAGTATATTATTTAAGTTCGGAAATGTATGATAAAGACAACGGACAATAATGACACTTGAACTATACTTTTTTAAAAAAATATATAAGTTAAACAAAATGAGTTTGATGCACATTTCAGTCTCTGTAAATATTTTAAGTAACCTACCATTAAATAGAAATATTGCGTGAAACTTAAAAACGAAAAAAAAATATATACATATATATAATGAATTGAGAAAATACCTCTAAATATATCTAGAAAAAAAAATTTCTAAAAATCAAAAATTTCCCATGACTTTCACCAAACCAGAGCAGTTGGTTTTTTAGCAAACGAAAATTAAAAATCTAACCAGCATTGAGTTTTAGTAGTGAGCCTGTTTTGAGCAATGGTGAGTTGGCACAAACTCAATGCTGCCACCTTACGAGNTTCTGTTGTGGTGTCCACATCCTCACTTAAAACTTTTCAGCCTATTGAAAAAAAAAAACTTTATTAGTTGCAGTAATACATGCAAAAGACAGAATAGAAATACCTTGTTTAAGTTCGAAGTTATGAATTTTTGAAGTTAAGATAATTTTTGGAACACCCTGTATATCTAGAAAATTTTTTTTCTAAAAATCAAAAATTTCCCATGACTTTCACCAAACCAGAGCAGTTGGTTTTAGCAAACGAAAATTAAAAATCTAACCAGCATTGAGTTTTAGTTGTGAGCCTGTTTTGAGCAATGGTGAGTTGGCACAAACTCAATGCTGCCACCTTACGAGCTTTTGGGCTCTGCATGCTACTGACTGCCAAAATTAACTCAGGGCTAAATTCTTCAGGGTATTTTTTCAGAAGCAATCCAACAAGCCCTAAAGGCATAAACTGTAAAATTTGAGAAGCTTGATCTTTAGCACGTAGAACAACTTGTTCTAAAAATCGAATAGGAAAATAAGACCTAGCACTGATTGTTGCATCTGAAGCAATCACTAGTAGGGTACGCATCAAATCAGCGATTGCTTTATTGATAGGATTAGCTACTGCATTGCGCATATGCTCATCACTAAGATTTTGTAGCTCAAATGGTGTATCCTCGAGCAATTCAGCGTTACTTCTATGTATTTTTGTGGGCCTACTGTGCTCTGTGTGATCTCGTGTGTCATCAATGTCAACTTCACGATGGCTTCTTTTGCAACCAGTTTTAACACTATTTCCCGAAGAGCACTGGCGTGATTGCAATGCTGCATATGTTGTAATGACAGTTAAACGTGACAAGGCACTACCGTAGGGTTCTGCTAACTGTTCTTGATGAGCTTCACTATAAAGATAAAAGGGAAGAACATGCAATAACAAAGCAAGAGCGCATTGTTCAATATCTAGATAAAATATGCCAATTACCATGTCAACAGCTCTATTGATGTCTTGAAGAAATTGATAGCCCAGTATACGACGAACAAGAGCATCACATATCCAACGTGCTCCACCAACACAAAGTAATGTTTCAAAATAATGAATAGATTTTATGTCAAGCCATCCACGATAGTGCACATCATTAAAAACTTCATCTAAAATTTTGCCTAAGGGTTTTTTAACTGTCAAACCGTGAGGGATGAGAGGTGCAATTTTAGATTTTAGCTGTAAGGGAGGGTGCAGATCCCACATCATTATTTTTATAATCCCAATCATCAGGCTACAACGTCCAGAATAAAATGCATTACTTTGCTCACTGCCTGGAAGTTGAGGTGTCTGCCTACCACTAGCAGATGGGGACTCAGAAGGTGAAGTAACAGACTCCACTGCTGGAGGAGCAATGAAATGCTGAAGCATATTCATGGGTTTCAGACGTTCTTCATGATGAAGAACGTTGATGTAGTTGCAAAGCCAAACTGAAATACAAACTGGAAGACAGCACATTTGACTTTTAATGTGATCTAAAACCAATTTAACTTTTTCTGTGGATAATGCTCCATGCTCCCAAGCAATAAGTATCTCTCTAGCAGCAGCTGGAGCATTAAGGCAAACTTCATGCCATTTCACTTGATGAGGGCTCATATCATGCTCTGTGTTTAAGAACTGAGCTAACAACAAGTCAACTGTTGCTTGGTCACTTCGAGACAATACAAGATCCGGACATTTAAACTTCCCATCTTCAGCTAGGTTCTTTGATATCCACTGAACAAAAAAAGAATCTTTTATAGTAGAAAGCCCAAGGACAATTTCAGTGCCATAATATTGAGAAATATAAAATAATAAGAGAAAGGTGACATCAAAAGTTAAAGCACGGGTCTGGGCAGCTTTAGCATTTTCAGTAGCAAAATATTTATTAAAATCATTGCATTCAATTAATTTAGTAATAAAAGTATGCAATTTCCCAGTAGCAGCAGCTGCAGCAAGAATAAGTTTAAATTTTCTTAAAGGTAATATATGACAGAGGACACCAAGGAGAGCTTCTTGAATCTTTGAGTAATCAGAATCTAGCAGTTTTAAAATAGTTTTAAGAGTATGTTCTGCTTGTAAAGAACTTGGTATATTTGCCTGGTCCCACTGAGGACTCGGTTTAGGAGTTGGAAGTTTCACTCCTCCCATATTCTGATACATGAGACTTGCTGATTTGAAGGAATCATTTTGTCTTCGACCAAGGAAACTCATTCCCTGACCTTCTGTCATTATTTTTGCCTTGCAAAACTCCTGTGCTAAATACTGCAAAGTATCAGAATTGCTCTTTAAATCAGTGAGATCCAACAAAGGTGAATAATGTAGTAACATATCTAAACTTTTCTCAAAGGAGTCTTCTTCACTTTCAATTTGAAGAGACTGGATGTTAGAAATAATGTTCGGTAGTTTCAAAAATGTAAATGCAAACCACTTTAAATCATCTTCAAATGAACCTGTGCCACTGGCTATACCAATCAAACAAGCGCGGATAAGTTCGCTATAAACTTGTGATAGTTTAAAATTCTGTAGCTTTTTCACTAAAAGCAAGTGACTCACAAATGCTGATGCATCACTTGCAGGATTTAAAATAGCATCGATTCCAACCATTATGTTTAAAGTGCTAGCTAAGGTTTGAAGTTTGTTTTTTGAAACATTTTCTGATGGAACAACTGGTAAATTATCAACTGAGCTAACTAGACTCAATGCACTTTCAATTACTTCTTTTGAAACATTTGTTGTATTTGGAACTATTGCTAACTTCTCTTCAAGTTCTTTATGTTTTTGAAGCATTTGGGTATACATAGCTTGATCTTCATACTTTCCAACGTAAAGTAAAGATTTAATAAAAGTGGTATTACTAAAATAAAAAAGAGCTTCATATGACTTTTCAATAATTGAAATGTGTTCTGGANGGACGGGCAGAAATAAGCAACTTCCGGTTGGGGCAGAAATAAGCACCCCTTGACTGCCTATCACTTCCGCCGCATACATGCCTGCTATTACTACTGTTATAGAATGATAAATGCAGGAGTACAACCAATGAGTAACACTAACCACAGCTTTACATAACGCAATGCATTCTTCTTCATTGCCATGACAGCCTATTCTTGATTGAAATGTTCTTAGCAAATCAAGTAAACTCAAAATGCAATATGGCTTATAAAAACTTTGATATCTGCCTATACTAGATAAGACTGCACCATATGAAACAACTCTAGAGCTAAGAGAATGCATGAGATAAGACATGAATAAATTGTTTGATCCTGGTCCAACTAATGCTTGTTGAAGAATACAGTCAGCTAAATCATAAACATCACCACTTACTCCACGTGGAAGAACACTTTTGATTCGAATACCCCATGAAACATCTGACCATCTTTCTCTCCAAGCTTGTAGCAAAAGTGATTTAATGCTCCGTGTTTTGCTGGTATCCATGATTATCTGTTAAGGGAAAACAATTCAACAAAAATTTCAAAATATAATAACAAAAAAAAAAACAAAAAAAAATTTAACTCACAAAATAAAGAATATTTTATTTTGCATAAATTTAATTTTATCCAAATTGGAAAAAAAGGAAGAAAAAAAAACATGATTAAAAAACCACAATTCTAATAGCTGCATAATCCATGAAAAAAAAATAGCTAAGCATGTTAAAAGTTTTTACTTATCTGCCATAATGATCTTTTTTTTCTGTAGTAACCACAGAAATTTTCAGTAGTTTTACAATAAAATGTGTTTTTTGAACTTATGACATTGCCGTGAAATATTAACACTGGAATGCATCTTTTTTTCTTTTTTTTTTACAAGAAAAATTAAAATATTAAATTTTAATATTTTGATCATGGGATATTATGATTTGATTAATTTAATAAAATATTTAAAAAACCAAAATGGAAATGTTAAAATATTATAGAAAACATAATTTATGAAATTCAAAATTATAAAGAGGAAAATAAATTTATAATGAGAAACGTAAAATGGTAAAAATTAAAGAATAAGAAAAAAGAAAGATATAGTTTTGAGCAATACAGAGAAATCTTACTAAAAAGTCAATACATTATCTATGTATGAGCACTGAGTTAATGTTCAACACTTAGAATGAAAAAAAATGTTTAAGAAATTAAGGTTTATCAAACACTTTGCTAGTATTTTTGTTCCATGAAAAAAATATATTCCTAGTTTTTCCTGATTTTTTATTGTAATCTAGGGGTGCACAACCAGCAAGCTGTTGAAAAGCAGCTTTTGGCAGCATTTGAACATGATGAAGGATTTATTATATTTTTCTATTTTGAAAAGAAAAAAAAAATTGGAACCTTAAATTGCTTATTTGAGTCATCACCTTAGCACTCAAATTACGCAGATTCCATCAGAAATTTGTGTAGTTTTTCAGTCACTTTTTTGGTGATTATTCTTATTTTGTATTCTGGAATAACACCGCTATAAAAAAAATTGGGATTTTCAAAATCATGTAGAAATTGATAACTGTAATTGATGCAAAATTAATTCACAAAACAAGTGAATATACTAGGAGATTCTGACAAAGCCAAACAAAAGTCTCAAAAATTGATTAACCAAATGCAAGACAAAAAATTGCAATAAAATTTAAGTGTGGTTTAATCTTGTCTGTAAGGATAAAAAGAATATGCAACTAAGATTCGTATTAAAAAGTATCAAAGTATTAAAAATATTAAGTTTTTTGAAAATCATGTGGAGTTCTAAATCAATTACAAAGGAAAAAGCAATTGAGAAATAAATTTATAATAGAATTGGTGCGAATTGAGGGAGTCAAAATTGATGACTCAAATATGTATTCAAAATTTTTTTATTTTTCAAAAAGAAAAAAAAAAGAAAAAATCATACATTTGCATTTAGAAGCTCTTGTGGGCTGCAGGCTGTGCACCTGTAATTTACACAAAGTAACTGATGATTAAAACTTTAAAATATTTTCTGCAAATCTGAAATAGAATTATAATTTTTTTTTTAATAACCGCAGGCACTGAACTTTCGTTCTTTGCCTTAGAAGATGCCGGAAGTGTTGCTCATTTATCATTACCCAATGGGCACCTGTGAACCAAAGTCATGGAGGCGAGCAACATTACCCACGCCACACTGCCACAAATACCTGTTCATAGGGTGGGCCATTCATACATTCACACATCAGAAGACAACACACAGAGAGAGAAACATCCATGCCTAGAGCGGGATTCGAGCCCGCAGCCATTGGCTTCGCAGTCAGGCACGCTGACCACTCGGCCGTCGAAATAGAATTATAAACAGAGTTCAAACATTTTACACATGAAAAATGTTGAAATTAAGAGTCAGTTTTTAAAGAGTCATGCAGGGGTGGATACTTAAGGTTTTTGATTTTGTTGAAATTATCAGGACATATTCTTTAAATAAATCTATTAGATAAACGCTTTTTCATTTCATTGAGAAAAACTTTTTTCTTGGTTTTATTGGTGGTAATATTTTTTGGTGGTAATATTTTTTGTAAAATAAGTGAACCATACCACTGATCATTACTTTATGTTGTACTACTTCTGCACTAACTATCAAGACATAATCAGTTTCAGTGGATCTTTGCATCAAAAATTAAAGATCATCCATCAAAAAATCTTAGAAAAGAGACTATTTTCATAGACTTTGACTTGTATCTACTTGTGCCAACAGTGAACCACAAAGGTATTTACTTCAGTTCATACATACTAATAAATAGTACCTAAATAATTTTACAGATCATTTACTTCCTTTTCGAAAACTAGACAAGCATGAAATTCGCAAAAAAAGAAGCTTAAAATATAACAGGGAAAAAAATCAATTCAATGATTCAACTTTCATATAATACGACTCTAACCTTTGAGTCGTGTACCTCAATAAAAGAATACAGAAATAATTATTAAAAAAATGCAAAATGTCTTTTAAAATGCGTAATTTAAGCACAAAATGAATAATTGAAGTTAACACCCTCAACCAAATTGAACTTTAGTCACATTTTGGAATTAACTGAGAGGGTGGGGCAGAACATACTCATTGTTACCTAGGTAAGTGATATAATATTTCTGTTGTAATTTTGTACACTGAAACGAATGTAATCACACCCAAATAAATATATCTATTATTTAAATTTTTAATTTGAAAGAGAACAGATTTTGGCTCATATTAATGTGGGTAGTATTGCTTTCCAGGCAAGTGAGGCATTGATTTTAATGTCTAAGTATTCGCTAAGAAAACTTAAGTTTCCATACAGTTATAAAAGATTAGTGTAAAAAGAAATACTGTTTTGTCTTTTTTGTAATTATTTACTTAAGACTTTATATAATATTTAAACAATTATTGAACTTCTGTTCCTAAAGATTGGTTAAAAAAATGCAATGGAGTCAACCCCTTACTTGTCTAGATGGATAACAATGTCATATGTGTAAATATGTAGGTAATTATAGTAGCATCTTTTAATAGGTTTAATTTTAGTAAATAAACAGCAAATTATATTTTTAACTATNTATATATATATATATTGTAAGATATATGACCATTTCTAAAATTTCATGAGAATTTTTTTTTTAAAATAAAAATTAGATTATTGATAATAATCCCAAAAATGAAAAAAGTTTATGAATAATCTCAGAACACCCACCCCTATGACATAGCATCAACAATTAATGGCTAGCCATAGGGTGTGCTTCAGAAAAATGCATATGAGAAACTGTGGATTATTTCTTTTTATTGATTATCTACATACAATTTTTGAAGAAACTGAAAAGGTATTGCAAAATTCTATTAACAGGAAATAAAATTTATGAACAGTTCAATACATTTTTTCTGACAGTCTAATTAAAATAATTTTCAATAAGTGCATGGAAAATTTCTCACTGAATCTAGGTTATGTTCATAAAGGAATTTTATAAAGGCTTTTTAACTAACCGTTTTATACCCCTTCCTTAATTTAGATTTTTAATAGGCGATCTTGAGTATAGTTACTTTTATAATTATAGATATAACTTTAATTAGCATTCTTGGTAAGCAGAAGAGTTTGAGTAAAATTAATATAACATATTTTAAGAAAAATAATGTTTCTAACAGTTAACTTAATGTTTAAAATGTACCAAATGTATATTTAAACATTAAGTTATATATTATTTTTATTGGTAATAATATTTATATATAATATTTGGGTTAATTATAAGGAGCCTCTCAGAATAAACCTCTAACTGTGCCTATCTCTCTGAACCCATCTAAAAAAGAAGTCTGTCTTAATATAATTCTATACCCCTGCGAATATGAGTGGGAGCTAGACTTGTTTAACTACATGCAAGGTACATTTATAACTACCCCTAAAATTTAGAGATTAATTTTCAATTAAATAATATATTTCACTATTCATTTTAAAGGTGTACATTTATACAATTACAACTAATATATACTAATGAATAAAACTTCAATAAATTTATTGATAGTAATTTTTATTAATTTAACTGAAATAATAAACAAAGAGTAGCATCTTTTATCCATACAGTTTATCACTCAAAAAAAAAAAAAAAATTGAAACTTCTGCAAGAATAATTGTGACTTACTACAACATAACAAGTAGATCAGCAGTCATAAAAAATTTATCAACACAATGTAAGAATTTTTACATTTATTTATTAAATATTTTCTTGTTTGTCATTTTTATGTAACATTTGTTAATTTTATTCAAATAGTTCCTTGGTTCCTCTTTGACGCTGATGACAGGTTAGTTGGTGTAATGACATAATTTACATCTGTTTACTTTATATCTTATAAAGGTTTTAGCTTTAATGGACTGAGGTGAAGTTAGAAAAATCAGATGACCAGTTAACGCACCATTCTGGCTGCATATGTTTCATGCACTTCCGTTATCCATCAAGAGTGAGTGCATGCGCTTGCTCTCGCACGGGAAATGTCTCTACGTTAAGGCGCTGCTTTGAAAAATTAACGTGATGAGAACCTGAAAGATATTTACAGGCGGAAAACTCGCTAATCAGATAGTTATCTTTCTCACTAATAAAGTTGGCATGTACGAGTTTTTCGCATGCGGTATGGTAGTCCCTTTAGCGCTGTCGTGTGTAGTGATGCGAAATGCAACTATTTTGAATTTATTAATATTTAAAAGCAACATTCGAAAGGCGAAACGATCCTGCAATGAACTGATCGTAAGGACTCAGTTCCCAGTAAAACATCGAAGTCAGGCATCACTGGTTGCGGTCACTAGGCTCGTGGGGAACCGAGAGTGCACGGTATCGGTCCTTGTTAAACTGTTCTACAGTAAAGTGCTTGACTTGTCTCGCAGGTCGTTGGGGTACGAAAGTGCAGGAGCTTTCCCCTCTGCAGAGGATCAAAATTGCGATGGCAAGTCTTCGGATTATTCTCATGGATGTTTCCATTAGGCTCCGACAGCCCACTGTGCAGCTCTAGTGCGACGTAAATAAAGTACCTACCTCGAGAGTCGAAGTATGTTGAGATCGAATTAAGGGGATGCATATGATTCACGTATCTCCAATCGCCACCTCCAGCAAAGATCTAACAACTCAGGTTGTCTTTCTCCATCAGTGGTGCGGAACTCATATGCAGATAGAACCACTTGTGTTCCACTAGTTCAGATTAAAAAGCTTAAACGTTCGAACAACTGGTTTAAGAAAAAAGTTTGTTGTAGTTCATTTACGTCAAACTAGAGCTACACAATAGGCTATTGGTGACGGTCTAGGATACATCAGAGTCTGATCCACTGCAGAGGGGATGGTGCCTCCGCTTCGGTAGCCCAACGACCTGCAAGCGAAGTCGAGCACTTTACGGTAGAACAGTTTTAAGAGGCTCAAAACCGCACACCCTCGTTCCCTATGCAGACTGATCCAACTGACCACAACCACTGAGTCTTGACGATCAGTCCACTGCGGGACTTAGGAAATAGTACTACAAAAGTATAAGAGAACATTCTCCTAAATGATACTTTTTAGCGGGTAAAAATATTTCACCAAAGTACTTATTCGCATGCGAAAAAATCGTATCCGCGATCTCTTAACGACCCAAGCAGTGGAAATTTTACCATCGTTTTTCAGAAGAGGAAAATCGCATATGAACTCACCCACTTTGTTCACTCCCATGTCACTAATAAATCAAACTATTGAACATCACTTATTATACGGGTTTCTGGTTAAATATTCAAAGGCGGGAATTATGTAAACAATCAGATTTTTATTTTTTTCATATCTCCCTTTTATTATACATTATTTTTTTTTTAATTTGGGGTTATTTTTTCTTATAACACATTTTTTAAAAATTGCTATATCATACAAAAAAAATTTATCTGGAAAATGTGTTGAAAAGTCAGTTTTCTCAAAGTAACAAAAAAAATTTTTTAAAACTATTTTTTGAGTTAATATTAACTGAAATCACGTTTTTTTTTTAGCTTTATGAGTCAAATAAAGTTCTAATAATATTAAAGTTTGATAATGGAAATTTTTTTGCATAAATAATTAGAGAAATATTTACTTGAACTATTTTCCTGATTTAATTGAATACTTGGAAAAAATAACAGAAATAACTTTCAAAATGTCTGACTTATTATCAGATATTTTTTTTTTTAGTTATTTATTTAACTACATCTGTTTTCTCCTACATTAAGTCATTTGTTTATGATACAAGTTTCTACAATTTATCTGTACTTGTCTTCATTCAGTATTTATTTATTTTCATTTGAAAGTACACTACAGTGGTCTTGTAGGTGTACTTTAGTTCTGTAAGTAAAATGGGTTCAGATGGACAAAAAAAATTTCCTTTGTAAAATCTTTTTTACCAAAAAAATATGCAGAAAAACTTTATTTTTCCCTTGTTAACTATGAATTTATAAAAAATTATTTTATTATTAGAATTAATGAAGGCTGCAATTGCTGTGATATATTTTTTATAATAACATAATTTTATTAATGGGGGACTCCCCCACCCTGACTATTTCAAAAATTCGAAAAAGAATTTATTGCATTTTTCGAATCTTTGTACCCTTCCTAATATCTGTCTAAAATGATTTCTCGGTACCTAACTTCGTTTGGAAGTTATACCGGAAAATAGAGAGTCGTCGCTAAGCAGGTAGAAAGGCCCGTTCGGCCGGATTAGGAGAGGTGACATTCTTTTTTTGTCTCATCCATTCTGTTGACTGCATATAGTAACTTACTGTAGGCATTTCATTTATCGACCATTATATATATGAAATTAAACGTTTTCACCTACCATAAGTCAGAACTTTAAACACGCTTTTCTCAAAACGCTGTTTTTGGACCTGGCCTAACAATTTTCTCATGATCTATACAACGAAATAAGCTGTTCTTTATTTTAAATTACGTAAAAATATATTCTTTAGAAAGTAGCATAGGATTTTTTTAATATTTTTATACTTCGATTTTATATTAGTAATTTAATGAATATTTTTTTAATGAAAAACTAAACTTTTTTTTAAAGTTGCCGCCACTTTGGAAATTTGCGAAAATCAAAAAAACGGCTATGCTATTTTTTAGATAATGTCTTTATGATTCAGAAAATCTAAACAAAATCGTTTTCCAGGACTTCTAAATCCATGAGGCCAGTGAGGTGCTACTTTTTGATGACCAGCCACACACGGAGCTGCCACCAACTTATTTTTTATTATTTTGTAAAAGAAAATTTTTTTAAAATAGACTTAAATTGTAGCTAAATAACATAGAAAAACCAGAAGTCTCTGCATTGTCTCTATTACTTAAAAAAAATTCAAGGAAAGTGTTAATATTTTACCATTTCAGGGTGGGGTCCTCCTTTAATTTTGTTGGATAAGAAGGAAACAAAATAAAATATTTTTGAGTCTTAATATATAAAAGTCTTAATTAAAAATGAGTCTTAATTAAAAATATTTAATTTTATTTTAAATTTTTTCACATTTAAATATGAAGATAATCATCGTAAAAGTAAAGTATACATCTTTCTTAAGCATAATTATAAATTCTTTAAGAATCCCTTCATTTTAAATTCATACAAGCATATTTTTATTTATTTTAACTTTTCTAAACTACATTTATTCATGAATAAAAAAAAATTTCAGTTGCAGTTAAACCTTTCTCACCTTTGAATGAAGATTCCTTTGAAATCTTCAATTTATTATATTCAGACTCGTTTTCACCTGCCTAATGATTTGAAAAGGTATCACACTATCAGGTTTCTTTTTATCCATAACACAAATTAGCATATTTTTTCTTCACTATCAGCTGGTTACCTTCCACCATTTATTCTGTTAACTCCAAAATACCAAAAGAAAAGGAATATGATTACACAATGGTAGTTCTCTACTATTTAACAAACCTCTAACATAAGTTTGAATTAAGAAATGATGAAAAATTAAGAAATGATCTTACTGTGTACTAAAAATCAGGGAAATAGTGTTCCTGATGAAAATCCTTCTATAAATGAAAGAAAAACAGACATTTTCACATTTTAAATGCAAACAGTGATTATTGTCAAGTGTAATAAGTAAATATTGTAAGAAAACCAGAGTATTGATTCTGACAATATAACTGTAAAAAAGTAATAAATAAATAATAAAAAAAATCTATACATAATTAATAATGGCTATTTAAAGAAATACATATTTTTATCTCCTTTTTTTCTTTTACTTTTTCGGCACCATTGAAAATAATTAACAACATAAAAAAATAACTTAATTGATATCCAAAAACTTCCATATAATTCTTTTTTATAAGTCACATCACAAAGAAAATTAAAATTTACTTTGTATTCACACACAATTATGTTTTTAGTAAGTCGAAAATGTTATATTTTGTGGATGAAGTGCATACCAAGAAAAACATTATGAACACTTGCGAGGTACAATAAAAAATGTTGATGAGGCACTATTAAAACTACTTACAACATCTCAGCTGAGAAAGCTTTAGATGTGGCAGTTAAGAAAAAAAAAACATATGTATTTATTCGTAATATTGATAAATGAAAAATAGGTAAAATAAATAAATAAATGCTTTTGACAACTTAGCTGTGTGAATGAGATGCAAATTAAGAAAAATAAAACAAATATTGGTGAGGCACTACTAAAAATATTAGTAAGGCACAATCAGCTCAAAAAATACAAGCGTAATTCATTTTCAATATTAATAAACAAAAAATATGTAAAAATAAATGCCCTCAAAAACGCAAATGCAGTCAATAACTAAACATCAAACAGTTACACTTTGCGGATGAAGAACATGCTAATAAAAATATAATGAATGCTTGTGCGGTTTAATAAAAAATGTTGATGAGGCACTATTAAAACTATACAATATCTCATAATATAAAGCTTTAGACATGGAAGTTTAGAAAAAAAAGAAAGAAAGAAAGCATGCATAATTTATTCGTTATATTGATAAATGAAAAAATAAATGCTTTTGACCGCTAAACTATATGGATGAGGTACATGCTAAGAAAAACATTAAAAAATTTGTGAGGCACAGACGAAAATATTAGTGAGGTACAATTAAAAATAGTTGCAAATTTCTCATGGACTTTAGGCATGTCATTTCAGAAAATATACATGCAATTCATTCATAATCTGTATAAATGAAGAAATGAAATAATGAAAAATATGAATAAATGAAAAATACGCATAAATAAATGCTTTTGACAGCTAAAATATGTGGGTGAGGTACATACTAAAAATTAATTATGAACACTTGTGAACCCCAATTCAAATCTTAGTGGGGCACAATTACAAATATTTGCAAATTTCTCATGGGCGCAAACTTTAGGCATGTCAGTTCAGAAAACATATTGATTCATAATATTCATAAACGAAAAATAAGTACAATAAATAAATGCTTTTGTAAAATAAAATAAACTATGTGAATGAGATACACGATAAAAAATAAATTAAACATTACGAACACTTGTGAGGCACAATGAAAAATGTTGGTGTTCACAATCAAAAATAAAATATTTTATTGTATATCCTTTGTAATAATAATTCAAAATTATGGAATGTTACAGTTAAAAATTTTACTGATTCCTTATTACTTTATATGTTTCTACCTGGCAATCAAGTTATGAAATGAAAAAATTTTATTTTTTGGATTCAGAGATTTTTTTCAATAAAGTATAAATAAATTTAAGGGTGAGATAAGCACTCAAAATTTGTCAACTATTATAAAAATATTTTTATGCATAAAAATTCATAGTAAAACAAATTCAATACTATTATTCTCCAGAAACTGTATTGATTCATCAAATGTAACTTCATAAATATAAAATGTTTAAAATCATTGTTTATTAATGCATAATGAGTAATTTTAAAGCTTAAATAGTGTTGCTTTATATAAGTTATTTTCAATGGATCTACAAATATATAACAATTTTATCAAGATGATTAGAAACTGTCTTTGTATCACAAATTGAAGATGAACATCATATTAGACTTTCCATTCTGTAAAGAGCCTTCAACTGAAATTTAAAATAAATCATTAAAAAGTAATAAAAAATATTTTTTATGATTTTTTTTCTATCCCATTACGATTTAGTGTCAAAGAGAAACAGAAAAAGTAAAAATGGCACATCTTCATTACACTTTACTACAAACAAAACTAATTCAGTATAAATTTTATTTTGTAAATGCTATTCGATAAATGACTTTATTTGTCACTTATTCTCTTATTAAAAAGAATGTCTTTTAGAAGAATTTATTAATAATTAATTGAATGTTTGCAACATAAAATGATGCATTATATTAATGCTAGACAATGCAATTATATACCTTCTATTATAGATTACTAAAAAAACTATATTTGAATAAGTACGTAAATATATGACTGCTTTATATATACTAAATGTTTAAAAGGGATAAATAAATTTAACTACCTGTTTTCTAGTTTTTCATCTCATCATGATGTTTTCCAAAGCAATCAATGCAGAGGCTTACTTGACAAGCCTGGCACATCCAAGTACTTTTCACAAAATTACCACTGACGGTTTTAACTTTCAGTTTTGCACAGCGTCTGCAACATCTTTTTTCCCACTTCACTCTTACGTGTTTTGCAATTTGAGCTGAATTTGAGGGGGTTGTTGGGGTCAATTTAATAACCTGCCTTTGTCGTATTTTGACTATAAAAGACCAAATTAAGTCAATAAACAAAACAATGGACTTATTTGGAAATTGTAATAGCAGTAAAAAAGTAAATAATGATTAAAAAGATCTGGTTTACAATCAGAGTATATAACTTGGTTCTTAAAGAAAATGTATTCGAATTTAAAAAGTTATTTTCATAACAATAAATTACCAAAAAACATTACATTCGAAATCTGAACAACCATTACATTTAGGAAGATCTACGATATTGTTTGACCATACCTATTGAGTTACTTACATACAGTTACTGCATTATCAAAACTGTTTACATTTCAGTGAAATAACATTCACAACACTCCTTTTCCTGAAAGCAATTTCCCATAAACAATAATTTTATATAATTTATTATTCTTAATAACTGATTTATTTAATTTTGGAAGCATTTTAAGTATAAAACCACATAACATTAACTTTGTTAACAGGATATATTGCGTCCAAATTTAAGGCTTGAAAGTAATTAGAAATTAATACTAATAAGAACAAAATTGCTATTGCGATGCAAATATAATGCAATGAAACAAATTTTTAAAAGAAAAAAAGAAGCTACATCCTTTATGATAAATATTTTTATAACTTTTACAGGGTATCTGCTACATTTTGGGTTTTTCAAATTCATGAGTTTCCATAACTAAAACTGTTATACTCTGCATCTTCATATTTATTGATTTTAAATTCATAAAACAGAGTAAAGAAAGAGTTGAAGTAATAAAATAGCTGAAAAAATAATAGCTGAGCAAATATTTTTTTTCTCAAGAATTATATTCTAAAGATACTTTTCTTGTCCATCAGAAAAGAAAGAAATACTCCGGATTTCTCTGTTCTCACTTCTGAATAAAAAAAAATTGCCAATGACTGGCTTGCTTCAGCTAGAATTTTAAATAGATAAAATAAAAATAATTAATAATAATTTTGAAATCACAGAAGTTTAAAATACTTCGCTCTAGAAATGTTTTTTCTTCAATTTTTTGAATGAACATCATAATTTTTAAAGTGATAATATTATAAAAACATTTTCTATTTTAATAAAATATGACTCTGAGTGGGGATTTTGTGACAAATTCAGATATTCAGAACATGTTGAAATGGGNGGGGGGGGGGGGATTCAATTTCAAAAATAAAATTTTTCGCAGGCCTACATCCATGACTTTAAAAAAAAATAATTAAAATCATGAGAAATTTTGTTCAGTACCAAAATTCATGACTGGACAGGTGCGTGGATACTCTGTATTTAAAATTATATAAAAAGGCATTTTAATGTATGCATTATATAATGTTAATTCTGTATTTAGATTGAATTAAATTCAGTTTTCTATAATTGAGCTTAAAATCAAAACTTTAATAAGAATCTTATAATTTAAATTTTTTTTTTTCTCTTGCTAAAGTAAAACTAAGTTTAAAACATATTTCTATGTTCAAGTTTAAAAATATGCATATTAAAATATTTATCTATTCTCTATCATTCAATAATAAAAAGCACACTGTAGCCAAAATTGAATACTGAAAAATACCAAACAGGATAATGGAGAATAAAATGGAAATAAATAAAATGTTTCAAAATTATACGTTACCTAAAACAAAAAACCTATAAAAAGTTTATTAAATGATCAAAATATTACCCTTTTTTTCATTCAAGAATCTAAATTTCTATGAACTAATCATAACATTATTATCAGCGATTAACAGAGAGCATTACACAACGTTCTGTATAATGCTCTCTGTACTTTCAGTATTTATTAGCGTGTATTTTCAATTATATAAAAAGTATATGTTTGGTAGTCAACAGCAAACACATTGCAATTTTATTAAAAAGATATTTGTCTTAATGGGCGCTGGAAATTCAAAAATTAATTCACAAAAGGCTGCAATTCCCGAATTTTTAAAAAGTAAATAAAATGGTCCAGTTCCAACAACAAACAAATCTGTGACAAACTAAAAGGATATTTTGTTTATCTAAAACCACAGGGGGAAACGTTCCCAAATAAAGCATGAAAACTGCACTCCTTTTTCCTTACAATGAGTTTCTACACATCACTATCAAGCAGCTCATCCCCACCCAATCGACTACCCATGCACCCTTTAGTGGCTTCAACAGAGCCGGGAGGGTGGTTAAGTAGTCCAGATCACTTCTGGTCTTTAAAGAGTTAGTTTCTAAATATTCGCTCAAACATCTAGAACAAAATGTGGGAATGTTTCCTAAATTAGAATTTCAAATATTTCCTCAAATTTAACCCCTAGTTTCTAAATAGTTTTATTATAATGTCTAGAAGACACTATAGTTTAATATAAAATAGGAAAGAGAATTTATATTAATTTTATGGATGGTGTTTTCTACACTAGGATACATTGCAAACTCTTTACAGTCTACACTTCAGGTTTATTGTTTCTGGCGTATTTCGAAGTCATTTGGCTCACATCGTGATCACTGAGTTTTGAGACTCTCTTGAGCAGTATTTCTTGTATATGTGTTTTTTTATTAGTTTCTTTTTTTAAAAAATTAATCCTTATAAGAATCTTTATTTGAAGAATTGCAATTTCTAGACAGAAGAATCCTCACCTAAAAAAAAAGAATCATTATGAAACACTACTTACCTTGTCAACAATATACCAACTTATAAATTTAAACCTAAACGGTAATTTGCAAAATGAACTTAATAATACTAGAATAATATGCTAACACTACCACATGATGGTGCATGATATACAAGAAGAACAAACAGTAATAAACAAGAAAAAATGGTCAAATCAAGACTGTCAAAAAAGCGAGTTCTTTCTAAATCTAGCAATTATGTCACCTTTTATAACAATACATTTATAAGTAACTAAAACAAATTCACCAGAGCTCAGTAGATTTACTTAATATCTTATGAAATATGGCAGATTTGAGCTCAAAATTTATATCATTAATTTCTTTTATTAAAATCAAAATTATCAGTTTAAAAATACCGCTGTGAAGAATTAACTGTAGTAGGCTGCTGTATACTTTCTTAACAAGTAAAGCAGGCCAAGAGCTGGTTGTTGTTTACATTTATATTGAAAACACCATCCATTAACAAGTCGGTTTGATGGAATTCTCTGTGCTCTAAAATGTCCAAAAACCCCTAGAAAATATCAATACTGTTCATTGCCATCCTGGTTTGGTCCCAGATTCAAACCGAGGGCAAATTCAAAAACTTTTGAATAAAATAATTTTGTATTCCATAATTTAAAATCTTTTATTTTTGTGAACTGTGAAAAGTAAAATAATAAATGCTAAATATTTGCTAACTTAAAAAACAACTAATGAAGGTTAAGAGTAACAGAATCAAACAAACATTAAAAAAAAATTATATAAGATATAATTTATTTTCCTAGACTACTTTCAATGGTATTTATGTGTCTGTCCGTTGTTATACATGAGTGCAGAACTCTTTACATTCCGTTAGGGTACGGAAATTGTTGGAATTTCCCCTGCAACCTCCATAAATAAATTCTTCACATTCTTGAGTCTCTTGATTAAAAAAATACCGACGGATAAAACCTTCACAAGGTCCTCGGACAGGCTTCTTATCACAAACTTTTTTTTCTTCCATTCCTAAAAGACAAAAATATCTATTTAAACAATATAAAATAATATAACAGCAGGTCCCTCAACACTTTTGAAATTTAAAAAAAAAAAAAATGGTGCCATTTTAATTGAAAAGGGGACCCATTTGTTAAAATGGGATCCAACTTTATGAAAGCTGAATTGATCCATTATGAACAAATATACATTTTTATAATCAGTATGGATGGTGTTTTCTACACTAGGGATCGCTGCAAGCTCGGGACTGCCTAAATTTCCGGGTTACTATTTCAGTTGTATTTTAAAGCCATTTGGCATCATTGTGTTTTGAGATTCTTGTAAACAATGCATTTGATCACTTATTACTTATGTTTACAATGCTAACAATACTGTTTACTATACTAAAAGTGTTAACACTAACGTAAGATGGTGCACAGCTTGCAACACGAACAAACAGTAATAAACAAATGGAAAGCGGCCAAATCAAGACTGCCAAAAAAGCGAGTTATTCAAAATCTAGCAACCATGTCACCTTTTTTAATAATAAATAACAAAATAACTAAAACAAATTTTCACTCCAAACTCCCCAGAATTACATAATAACATTAATATCTTATGAAATACGGCAGATTTGAGCTCCGAAATTATCTAGTTTATTTCTTTTATTGAAAGCAAAATTATCCGTTTGAAAACATCGCCTATCAGAATAATATGTAGTAAGCAGCTGCAAACTTTTTAACCGGAACTAGAGTAGGTCCCGAGCTCGTGATTGTTTACATTTCTATTGAAAACACCATCCATACTAATCTAAAATATTACAAATAAAATTCACTCAATTATTTTTTAATTATTATAATAGCAATATATTTATATTAATTATATTTTTCAGCAAGTATGTTAGATGAAATACTACTAAGTATATCTTAAGTAATTAACAAATATTTTTATTTTCAAGTATTTTTTTTTCAGTAATGGTACAAAGATGATAGAACAAAAATTATGCTCATTAAACTCTTTCTCTGAGAGACATATATTTCATAAAGTAGTGAACAATTCCTTCCCAAAATTCTAATAATAGCTGATTCTAAAGTAAGCCATCTTGAAGTTAAATGTTTGATAAAGCAAAGGTCTTTAATCTGTTTTTCAACCAAAACACTTTGAAAATCTTCACTAGCAGGCCATCCATCAAAATAGTGAAATAATGCAATAGTTCAATCAGAAATATTAGATTCAAAAACATTATATAAATGCATTCTGTAGCATGTGTAAGTTGCAAAATCCCATATTTAGCAACCCAACACCTCTAATTGAATTTATTTCTTCATTCATTAGATTAAATATGGCTTTGTTAACATTAGATCCATCACTGGAAAGCATTAACAAGTTTGAAAAAGTCAAACATGCATTATCTAGAGAAGATTTTAGATGCTGTTAACATCTTCTGCATGGCTTAAAAAAAATGTCACCAAATGATGAGAAAAAACTTTATTTATATCAGACCAAAAACGAATTCTAGTATCTAGCTCTTTGAAACTAGCGTTGTTTGTAGTTTCATCATATTCTAAAGCATAGAAGGAATTTTTAATCTCATTCAAAAATTCATTCCTGAATTAAGATGCTATTGCATCAGTGATTAGGTAAGTTACTTTAGTTGGATTAAGTGAAAAGTGTGCCATGATTGAGGAAGGAAGCATACAATTTAACACCTTATCTATGTCTTCGCAGGTACAAATTGGATATTAGAGTACATCATTTTTAGGCATCAAATTATTTCCGCTTTATAAGTTCGAGATTCTTCATCAGTACATTTAATTCCACATCAATAAAGTCAATGGTAATTTCTTTATGGCCAGGCAATTCTCTGACTGCTATCGGTAAAGAAGTCGAGAAGAATTTCGAGCTTTAATGCTCAGCATACTCATTGATGAGGGAAGACCAGATAATACAAGCCGGTTGGAATTTTTTTTTAGCTGCAAAAATTTACTTATATTTTTTCGATTCAGAATGTCCCATGTCTTTTTATAGCATAAAGCCCTATTGACAGGGATCATACTGCACACCGCACAAATGAAATTATTTTCGGGCTGGGTACCCCAAACAGGCACAATAGCCCGTATAATCCATCACACCAGGCCGTTTTAAAATTTTACATTTCTCCACTTCATGAAAAATTTAAGCTTTGAATAATCTACATAATTTTAATTAACAAATGCTTATATATATTTTTAAAAACAAGTATTTCTTAAAATAAAGCATTTGGCATAAAACACGAAATAGATCTAATCTTTGGTAGATCTTAGCGTAAATTTGCTTAGCTTATTGCTTTCATTGATTTGCAAATCATCAATCGTTAATACGACATCATAAGGTCCCTCAGTGGACTGATCGTTAAGACACGGCTCCCAACAGATCACCGAAGTCAAGCATCACTGGCTACTGTCAGTGTGCGGGTGGGTGACCACTTGGATCAGNATTAGGATGCTATTGCATCAGTGATTAGGTAAGTTGCTTTAGTTGGATTAAGTGAAAAGTGTGTCATGGTTGAGGAAGGAAGCATACAATTTAACACCTTATCTATGTCTTCGCAGGTACAAATTGGATATTAGAGTACATCATTTTTAGGCATCAAATTATTTCCGCTTTATAAGTTCGAGATTCTTCATCAGTACATTTATTTCCACATCAATAAAGTCAATGGTAATTTCTTTATGGCCAGGCAATTCTCCTACTGCTATCAGTAAAGAAGTCGAGAAGAATTACGAGCTTTAATGCTCAGCATAGTCATTGATGAGGGAAGATCAGATAATATAAGCCGGTTGGAATTTCTTTTTTAGCTGCAAAAATTGACTTATATTTTTTCGATTCAGAATGTCTTTTTATAGCATAAAGCCCACACCACACAAATGAAATTATTTTCGGGCTGGGTACCCCCAAACAGGCACAATACTAACTAACTCAGTGGCGCGACAGCCCATTAAGAGGGCCAAGGCCGACTGTGCCCATCTCAGTTTTCTTGACCTTGGGTTCTGGGGTGCAGGAGCATATGTTCCGGTCAGGTGGTCAGCCGAACGCGGAGCCCCCAGTGTTAGTTCCCAAGCATGCTTGGTACTCATTTTATCGACCCACTGAAGGGATGAAAGGCTGAGTCGGCCTTGCCCGGCCCAAGGAAAACAGGCACAATATGCCCGTATAATCCATCACACTAGGCCGTTTTAAAAATTTACATTTCTTCACTTCATGAAAAATTTAAGCTTTGAATAATCTACATAATTTTAATTAACAAATGCTTATATATATTTTTAATAAAAAGTATTTCTTAAAATAAAGCATTTGGCATAAAACACGAAATAGAATTGGTTAAGCTTTAATATGCGATAGCAGTGTGGAAAACGTTATCTGTCTGGTAGATCTAGGCTTTGGTAGATCTTAGCGTAAATTTGCTTAGCTTATTGCTTTCATTGATTTGCAAATCATCAATCGTTAATACGACATCGTAAGGTCCCGCAGTGGTCCCGCAGCAGATCACCGAAGTCAAGGGCGAGTGGTGTTGCTTTTAGGCAACGGAGTACCTGTGCACTGGGCACGCACCTCCGATCGAAAATAATGAGAGAGTGAAAAATAGGTGGTCTGTTAATCGAGAAGAAAATAAAATAAAATCACCGAAGTCAAGCATCACTGGCTACTGTCAGTGTGCGGGTGGGTGACCACTTGGATCTGTCTGTGTAGGGACCGAGGGTGTGCGGTATTGGTCCTCGTTAAACTGTTTTACCGTAAAGTGCTCGACTTTGTGTGCAGGTCGTCGGGCTACTGAGGAGGGGGTACCATCCCCTCTGCAGAGGATCAAAATTGTGATGGCATGTCTTTGGATCATCCTCAGAGATGTTTCCCGGACCGTCGTTAATCATTTTGCAGCTCCAGTGCGACGTAAATGAAGAACAACAACAACATGACATCATAAGTGAGTGATATCCTAAAATGAGGAACTTATGTGAAGGTGGAAGGATTTGATTTGATCTGTTCATTTACGTGGCACTAGAGCTGCACAATGGGCTATTGTGGTGACGGTCTGGGAAACATCCCTGAGGATGATCCGAAGACATGCCATCACAATTTTGATCCGCCGCAGAGGGGATGGCACCCCCGCTTCGGTAGGCCGACGACCTGCACGCGAAGTCGAGCACTTTACGGTAGAATAGTTTAACGAAGACCAATACCGCACACCCACAGTTCCTACACAGACTGATCCAAGTAATCATCCACCCGCACACTGACGGCAGCCAGTGATGCTTGACTTCGGTGATCTGCTGGGAACAGTGTCTTAATGATCAGTCCACTGCGGGATGAAGGTGGAAGGAACATACTAGTAAAAAAAATTATTTTTTGTGAAGTTGAATTTTTTTTTTTGAGAGAGGAATGAGTAAATGGTGGTTCTTTTTGATGATGGGCGGATTTTTACGCGGTAATTTTTTTTCCGGACTTATGGGAAACATTTGAGTGGCCGGTAACAGTTATTGTTAACTTAAAACTTGTATAGTTATGTTTTAATTCTAAACCACTTCGCATATGTAAGGGGGGGTCTGAATTGTGAGTAAAAGTATGTTGCTGAAACTAGAATTTACGAAAAAGAGAGAGAAAAAATTTAAGTAAGCATTTCTAAATTTTATCTCAGAAGGAGTAGTTTAACCCCAAAACTTACACACCAATGCAAATGCTGTGTACTGGGTAACTTCATATCAAATAACATACTAATGTTTCAATTCAATAAGTGCTACATTTTCAAGCTTTCTTTCTTTTTTTGTGTATTTTCTTTCCTTTTCTTCAGTGAAACATCAATTCTGGTTTGCCTGAGAAGTCTTTTGAAGACGTTTGTATTCTTTCTATAAATACATTTTATTGAAGTTATTAAATCATGCGTGCAATTTTATTAAATTCTATTTTAAACTGCTTTTATAAACGTATTTGTTTATATCTGTTTTTTGTTGTTGTTGTTTGTTTATATTTTTTTTATATTTGTTTATAGATGTTATATATTTGTCTTACATGCTTTCATTTGTTTTATATGCTTATATATATTTTTTAAAATTATGCATTTCTAAAAATTTAATCTGTTGTTCCTGATGAGTAACGTAATTATCTAAATTTTTAACGACTACATTTTTGTAGTGAAAAATATAATTATTGTATTGCATTTTCTACCTTTACAATATTCTCGGCACACTTCTTTTGATTCAAAACTGTTTTTATTTCCAAGACATCCTCCAAAAATAAATTCGTGGCATTCACCTGTAAATCGATTATAATAAAACAATTCAGTATAATCAGAACATCCCCCAAAATCTGGATCCAAAGAGCATAAATCTTCCTTTGAAAGTCCTATAAAAAAAAGGAAAATTTAAAAAGAACTTCATTATATCTTATTTGGATATGTATAATTGACTATATATAATTGACTATATATAATTAACTGATTGCATAGCAATCTGAATAACAACTGACGTAGCAGTCGTAATCGTATTATTAACATCAAATTTATTAAAGCATATTACATAGTTGTGGCTATATAGAGTGTACCGTAAAGACTGCATAAAAGAATATTTTTAGAGTCCTTGATTAACTGAAGTAGGAGAGTATACACACCAATTGATTAATATCGCAAATTAATATTTAAACCAGGAAAAATATACGAGACTGAAAACATCAAAACCTGATAGATTATGCCAAATTTTAATTGGGAATTTGACTGATTTTATTATTTTTATCCAACTATCCTCTATCATAGTAATTCCATAGTGTTTTTGTTTTTTTCCTCGCTTAAATATTAATATGCTATCTTTTGTCCGCATAATATATTTTAATAATTTTTAATTTTTTGTGTGTATATANATATTTTAATTTAAACTAATTGAACGAATCATTTTTCCTGCTTGCACCTTATTAAAAGGTATTGTGCACTCATGTTATATATATATATATCATGTTATATATATATATCATGTTATATATATATATATATATATACTTATTATTGCTGAAAAAAAGGGAGTTTTGTTCTGTCTCTAATAACTGGTACGACGGTATAGTTTCTTGAGACAGGCAATATTTATGAAAGTAAACACAGCCCAGTACCAAGTAAATTTTTCAAATAATAATACAAATTGAGATAACTCATACCCTTACGATATCATTATTAATGTTTCTCAAAATCATAACATAAAAATTACAAGGCATAACAAAATTATAAGGCATTTTAGTGTAATGAATACAGTTTACAGTTAGTTATAATTGCTATTGTTTCAATAAATATTTCAATCAAATATAAAAAGATAAAATTTGAAGAGTAAAGATTTTACCTTTTGTGATCTGAATAATGTGTTGAATTAAAATATAAATGAGTATTGTAGTAAACATATTGCGTTTGGCACCTTTAACCAGGAGAAAAAAATTCTCAAACTCCTTTTTTTTTGTGATCCAGCTGTTCCATATGTTAGTTCACACATTAACGTGATAATGTAAATAAATGACTTCTTATTGATTATCTGCAGTTTTCAGAGTGATTACGATAAAAATAAATAAGTAAATACAGAAGTGAAATTGACTCATGGTTTCCGAATTTGTATTAACATTAAGAATATGATAATAACCTAACGGTGGTTCCATTTCTTTAATTTTAATTTATTCATTTAATTAATTTTATTTATTTATTAATATTTCCCTTATTTATTAACTTGTTTATGCTATATTATTATTCTATATAATTTTTTTTTTCAAATTTTAATTTTCAGTACTTTATGTTTTGAGCAGGAATAAGTTATATCGATTTGACAAATACCAACAACTATCATTTCCAGCAAAAATAAAGAATTTTTAGTTTTATATTTTACTTTTGTGTATTGAAATTTTTTTCCCCGTGTATTTAAATCTCGTTACATAACTCAATATTTTACTAAAAACTTGCAACACTGTTTTAACCTGTATATATTACAGTAATTTTAGTTTTAAATTCAAAGTTTTATTCATGTTCTTATTTTTCTTTAGAATTTCAATTGAAATAAGTTTAGGCTCCCCTTTCTAAGACCTGATGTTAAATGCTTGTACTTTAAGACCCAGATCCGTAGTGTTTATAAAAAAGCAAAATATCTTACAAATTGTTTAATGTAATGATCTTTTTTAAAAGTTTTTTAATTTTTTCTGTTTAGTGAATATGATAGCAGCAATTCACTAAATGATATTTCCCCCACGTAAGTTACTACTTTATTTTTTCCAATTTAATGCTTGTAATTTAAATCAGTTTAATAAAATTATGACAGATAAAGATCTTTCTTTTAATAAAGCACTACAGCTTGCTGTAGTGCCTGCTTGACTTCCGGAATAATATCGTTCTGGACTTTTCAATTTTTGGCTTTAGACTTCCTGTTTTTCATCTTCATAATAGTTAGATCTTTGCTGGTATCTTCAAACTATCTATTTTTCTGTCTTTCTAATGGTTTCAAGTTCAAAAGTTTCCAATAATCATTTAATCTTTCAATGTGCTCAACGTCTGGATTTAATAAAACGATTTTTGTTTTTTCGTTTAATCAAATTGTCAGGTTACTATTATTTCTTCTTCTCTCCACTGTGTATTATTTACTTTTATTGGTCTGAAAATTCTTCTCAAAATTTTCCGTTCGAAAATTAGTAGGTCAGGTTTTTTGTTGTTAAAATCTAAGTTCTACTCTCATTCTTTACTGTCTAGGTCTATTTTATGGATCTTTGACCTGATTTCCGTAGTAAGAAGTTTGTTCTTGAATAAGTATTAGTATAAGTAAAATAATTCATTTCATTTGTGTATCCTAGACTTTATTTCATCTGAAATATTGCTAGAAGCATTGATAATTGAACCAAGGTGAAACTGAAAACTCCTGTCCGTTAGATAACTTAGATAATTTTGCCGTAGATAACCTATAAGATAACTTATAGTTATCTACAGCAAGCGTTCGTTTTCGTTTGTTCTATAAATTTTGTTTTTTGTTCATTAATAAAGAAAATTATAAACATAACTATACTATTAAGAATAGCGCAGTACAGTATCATTGTCCTGTACAGGCATGCAGGATTATATTGTAGAAATTAAAATTCCTTATTTTCGAACCTTTTATTTAAACTAGGAGGATAAATGAGGAAAAAACTGCTAAAGTTTACTTTTTTAAATACAGTAGAAAATAAAATTTTTACAGTAATTTCTAACTATATACTTTTTTTAAATGGTAAATATTCTTTCAGTTGGAGATCGAAATGGGCTGCAGGTGGAGTAAAGCAGAACTATTTACCTATAGCAGCACTTCGCATGCTTTCCCCATTAGCGTATGGAGAGTCATAGAGGAAGGAAGTACGTTAGTTTCTCTCTTGATTTTCATATAGATCAAAATCTTTTAAGTTGGTAAACTATATGGAGCTGAAAACTACGTTAAACATAGTTCTAAAGAAAAGCATAATGGAAATTTTAAAAAATACTTTTATTAAAGAAAAATGTTAAGAAAAGGGGAAATATCGTAGTACATTCCTATACAACCGAAAAGCAGAGGAGAGAGTAGGGAAAAGGGCCAAAGGCATGAAACCGGTCTCTCCCCAGACGGCGTATTCGAGTGTTGCTATCGCCAAAAGACAGACAGAAAAAAAATTCAAGGGTCATTCTCACTGAGTAGAACTCCCGCATCACCGTTCGACCATCACAAAAGAATGAGAACCTGATTGGTAAAATATATTCTCCAGTTAAAAACTGCCAACAGTTTCGCCTTCTCTGTCAATGAAGGCCCGCAGTGGACTGATCGCTAAGACACGGTTCCCAGCAGATCACCGAAGTCAAGCATCACTGGTTGCGGTCAGTGCGCGGGTGGGTGACCACTTGGATCAGTCTGCGTAGGGACCGAGGGTGTGCGGTATTGGTCCTCATTAAACTGTTCAACCGTAAAGTGCTCGACTTCGCGCGCAGGTCATCGGGCTAACGAAGCGGGGGTGCCATCCCCTCTGCAGAGGATCAAAATTGTGATGGCATGTCTTCGGATCATCCTCAGGGATGTTTCCCAGACCGTCGCCAATAGCCCATTGAGCAGCTCTAGTGCGACGTAAATGAACTACAACAACAACATCTCTCAACGGAAGTGGCCAAGCGGTATCGCCGGTCCAAACGCTCTGTTAAGCGTGGAGGTAGCGGGTTCGAATCCCGCCGTAACCCTGGATGTATTCTTTGTGATGTCTTTCTCTGAATTGTTCTATCTGTATTTTCTACTTGACAATGACTTATAAGCCTATATTGAGCACACAAGTCTGCAAAGGTATGTAATTTCAATAAATCATTTAAATCAACGGAAGTCCATGAACTGATGTAGTGAGAATGGTTTTGCAGTAAGAACGGAATCAGCGCTTACAATCACTCGATTTTTGTTTGCTCTTAGCTTGCATAGAAGAAAATAAGGCAGTAGAACCTATTTTATGCGTACGTAAATTAACAGAAATAAGAGAGCGGATGCGTTTGCACACAAAACTAAATATGAATTAGAACAGCAGAATTTTTATTTTCACTGATGTTAATACTTAATAACAGATATATTTAATAACAGATACGTTTATTATCTTACGTTTGTTAATATTTTAATAGTATATATACCTCTTTTAAAAATAAATCGCTGTAGTAATAATTTTTATGAATTTTAAAGCAATATATTGTTGTTAAATTTATTTTTGAATAAGGAATCTTATGTATTTGTTTTGGAGGGAGATTTAAAATAATAATGTTAAAATAATTCTGTTGAAAAAAAAATAGCTGAGAAAAATACATTTTTAATTCGAATTATGAAAACATACAATGTTTATTATCATAAATTATACTAGATTTTCTAATAGGTCAGGTTTTTTTATTTTGAAATGTAGGTTTTAAATTATATGATTTAAGAGACATTTATTGTAAAATTATTTGTTTTTTTATTTATTTAAGAACTAAAAGTAAAGGGATTTTAGTGTAATAACGTGTGTTTAGCAAGCAGATTTTTCCACTAGCAATATTTAGCTTTAATACTAACTATATGATACTCAAAATCTTCATGTTAATTTTGATAAAAAAAATTAGGTTTTTTCTTGAACCCTTTTAATGAAATACTTCATAATGTATTATGCAAAACTATGCTCAAGGAATGTATTTAATATGCATTATATGGAAAAGAACATGTTAAGGTACATAGAAATTTATGTAGTAGTTTTTCTGAATGTAGGAAAATTCAAGTGTATGTTTGATGTATCACATCCAATTTGAAAAAAAAAAATGAAAGCATTATTGACATTGTCTTTAATGATGTATGATTTCCTATCTTTAAGACAGCTTCTTAATATAACAACTATTTCATTATAACAACTGATACTAAAGATTCCTTTTTTTTTCTTACTCACTCATGTAGTGTTATTTTAATTTCTAATATAATAAGATACATTTCAATCATTCATTCATTCCTTATTCGACGTTTTCTTTAACTACAAAAATATTTTAGCAAATATTTTTCTTTGTTTCATTTTCTAAGGAATTTCTTCTTTTGAATTGCAAAATTTTTTCTTTTGGATATCTTTTTTTAAGAAAAACCTTTAATGATAATTATAGAAAAAAACTTATGTTCAGAAATGCTGAGTTATTTTTATTCTGGAAACACTCTAAGTTTAGATTAAGTTAATTGCTATTTATTTCATCTCATTGCATATGTCAATGATTATAGTATAATGCTAATTTTAATTGAGTATACATTTTTCAACAGGGTTTATCAAAACTTGATCAGAAGGAAAAGCTTATAGCAACATAAACAGATTTTAGGCCTTGTTGCATTGTTTTCTGTTGATAAAATTTTATGCTTGACCTGAAGAATTTGTAATAACAAAACAGGCATCAGTTAAGATGTTATTATAATAATTCATGATAACTTTTACCAATTTTGTTTCACTCTTTGTAACATTCTGCTCATAGTTTTTTTTCATTTGTGAGATATTTCTTTAGAACAATAATACATCACTTTTTATTTTTTATTAAAGACCAGTTAATTTTTTTTCACTTTAATTTTATAATTTTAATATTATTTTCCCACTTTGCATTTCAGTTTCATAATATTATCAATTTTATAATTTCACTTTAATGTTTTTAATTTTAATATTATATTGTATTATTTTTATAATTTTAATGATATTATATATCCTAATTTTTATGATTCTTGATTCACATTTATTTTTTTTTGAGTTCATTAATTTTGTTTACAGTTTATATTTTTTCTTATCTAATAATTTTCTCTTACTAACATTTAATTTTTCATTCCTTTCAGAATCCATTGATCAGTAGCAAGTCAGAAACATTTCTTTTATGCTACTATAGTATTGCAGAAAAAAAAAGATTTAAAAGCTTTGTGTAGCTTTCTGAGATCATGCTGATAAATTATTTTGAAAATTTATTTTAATTGTGTTTTTCTACTGATATTGAATGGGTTTTTTGATAAAAATTAGTGCAAGTGAACCTTTATATAATTTATTATATCAGTTTTTGTTTATTTGTACAAGATAGAGATATTATTTATTGACTTTCCAATTAGGGATAGAAGAGATATATATTTTTTTTTTCTGAAAATTTATAAGATATAGCTCTACTAGTTTTAAAATTTAGAATCTCTTAGTTTTAAAACTAATGACTTAACCTTATCAAAAAAAATCTTAGAATTTTCTTTATTATTATCCTTTTTAAATTTTATACTTTTCCAGATTGTTTTTTTCCAGCGTTTTCTATATTAGTGAGATTTTGAAATATTATTCTTGTAACATTAATTTAAATTGAGAAATTATATATTGTTATGTATTGCTTATTCTTAGTATGCTGATATACTATTTTGAAAAAGTAAGCATTAAAATTTAATTATATTTTTCTAACAGTTTTGTTAATCTCAAATGATCTTAAATAAACTGCAAGAGAACGCTCATAAAATTCAGAATATTAATTTATGTAATTAGTGCACAATATTAACTAATAATAACTTATTGGCTTTTCAATTAGGAAAATTTTTTTTTTCTAAAATTCTCTCCAATTTTTTGGTAAAAATAGTTTTGAAACTATTGTTTAACTGAGAACAAAGTTTAAAATCTTTATTGTCTTTCTTTTGTTGTTTTGAACCTTTCTAATTGTTTTTTTATATTATCTTCACCTTATAATTTATGCCTTTCTAATTTTTTTCTTATGTAGTTTTTTTGTTTTCTATATTTCTTACATTATCCAAATTGTTGATGACTTAAAATTTTATCTCAGAAAATTTTTACTCTTTATGTTTTTACTGTTTTAAGTTACATTATTTATTTTCATGCAGAATTTATTACATTGATATTTTTATCATAATGTACTGGCATTCAGATTCAATACACGATCACGGTTAGATGAATTAAAATGATGTTTCCAACTTTGAAGTGCTATAATATCTAATGTGAGACAGATAAGTTTTAGTACTAGCACTTGTACTAACAACTTGTTAGTTGTTTTTTTATGTTGAATAAAAAAAACTGTTTTTACTTTAGGAGAACAAAAAATCCTTTTTTTTTCTACATGCTTTTTATTTGTAGACACTGTGATTCTTAAGTGTTTTTAAAACCCTGATTAACATCTTTCTCTTTTGCAGTTTGATTGAGATATAAATTCCTATTGATTGAGACTAAATATGCACAAGCTTCAGTACAGTTTGTCTATGGTAAGAACTGCCCCCGTCACAAAGTCTGAAGCCGTCTGCTGATATGGAAACAAGAAGAGGAAATTTCAGGGAGGTAGTGTCACTTCATTCTAGGGCTAACATAATAGACCGTAGAAAAAGATTCCCCATTTCTCACTGAGCCAAGCCAAAACCTATCCTAAACAATGACCCCACACCCCTACTTGAAATGGTTGAACCTCCTTACCATTGTTACCGCCATGGGTCCAGACAAATGGCTGGAGGAGTTCTTACTTTAGACAAACTATATGTAAAGTTTTTTTTTTAATGTAATGCCTATCAAGGGTGGAAAGATATTTTTGTTCATCTTGTATTTTCTTTGTTCCTTGTAATTTTTACACCTAATTAAAAATTGCTCTTTCTTTCCTTTCTTTTTTGCATTAATTTATAAATATTTTACTTTCTTCTAAAAAATGATGCTTGTTTACAACAGTGGAAAGTCTCATACCCTAAATTGTTGGGACTTGTATGATAGGTCTTGATAGTAAACAAGGAACAAAACGTGCATTATTCAATAAAATTAAATTAAGGATATATCCACAATAATGTTTTGTCATCGGTTACATGACATTTCATTTACTATGAGTTAATATGGCATTGCTTGATGTGACAATATGTGATATTTTTTAATATAATAGTGCTTAATATGATAAAGTATGTTAATTATGATACAATAAATACCACTGATAAAATATAAAAGTAATCAGATAATAAGTTGACCTTTCTTTTTCTTTCATTTTTATCTTCCTTTTTTTAGTTGATGTGAAAAATAAGTAGCCCTGGTATTCAGATAGAAATAACATTATAAAGGAAAAAAGCATCAAATTGGAAAAGTGAATCAAACTTATTAAATAATAATATTAAAAAAAATGGAATAGAGTAGATTTTTTATTAAAAAAATTTCCAATATAAATCAAAACAAAGTTTGTCAGTTAGGTGATTCTTTTTGAAAAGCGATTTGTTTATCTTCATTGTTAAAGTGTGCAAAAATTTTTGGAGAATGGATATGAGACTTTCTACTTTATTTTATTTAAACTGATTCATTCTTTCTTTCTATATTTTATGTAACTTTAATTTTCTGTTTCTCCTTTTAACACTTCTTTCTCTTTCTTTCAGGATGTATTTCTCAATAACAAGACTGAATTGTATTTTTTATTGAATAGAGTCATAGAAAATTTTTTTTACTAACAAGTTTTATGAATCTTATATATCATCTTTTTAACTTTAAAATTGTATTTAATCATAAGGAGGTAATCAATTATCCCTATTTTTTTTTTTAAAAAAATTACATTCACTCATTCTTTAAAGTATAGTATTCTTTTAATTTTTCTATTTTCTATGTTTTTCTTGTGCATGTGCATATTTTTTTGTTTTGCATAAAAAGTTTATTTAAATTTAGTTTTCTTATAATTTATTATATTTTTTTATTAACACAAATGTTTACTTTCTTTTATTTACTTTTTTAAAACATTAGTTAGTTTTATAAATGTTATTTCTCATAAAAATTAATGCATGTATAATTTTTCTGTGAATTATTATTGTTATATGTGTTACATTTAATTAAGGTACATATAATGTGTTCTGTAAAGAATGCCCTTAATATATATTTATAGAATTCTTGTTGAAAATAAGGACAAGATGTATACATATTAAGGATAACAAACCAATGTTAAAGCTAGGAAAACTCAAAAAATGCCATTGTAATTAGATAAATCATAATTGAAGAAGGTTTACATAGCACAAAAACTTGTTTGATTGGACAAGGAATTAGAGAAGAATTGGAATAACGATTTATAGAAATTTGCTCCTGTTTTAACTAGTGTCAAACAGATTTTGATGTTCTGTGCAGCCATCTTTCTAAATTGGGGTTATTAGATTTTGATAGTATTCTTCGTCTTTCGAATACAGTAGAGTAGTGATCATCCGAGTTTCCGCTTTAACTAAACTGTCAAATATTTTATGGATTTTTTGTTCTACTTATTTTTTATTTTTAAAACTACGGCTGAAAGATATTCTGAATTTTATCTACTAAACACTCAAGAAAACAAACTGACGGACAACATGAAATTACCGATGAAATGACCGTTAATATCGTCAATAATGAAAATGAATCTATCGTAGATAAAGACAGTGACGATGAAAATCAACATATAAAAACCTCTCAAACAGATGGAGTGAAAGCTATCGATAGTGCTACCGAATATATAAAACAAAAAGAAGAGGCGACACCAGCCTTCCTGTTATTCCTAAAAAAAATGGCAAAAAATTGCTGCAGAAAAGCGCCATAGTAATGTAAAACAGAAAACGATTAAGGACTTTGATAAGTAAAAACTCTTTAATTCTCGTAAAGTATGCCTTTTAAGTGCTTTTAGGTAACTTTTTAATTATAATATGAATTGTATGTGGTGTACTCATATAGGTTTTGTATTTGTTAAATATATTACATTTATACCTACTCTGTTTTTTTCCTTTTTTATATTCTTTGCTTTAACCTAGTTTTTTGGTTATCCGAGTTGGATATGGTCCACTTTATCTTGAATAATTGGGAGTCTACTGTAATAATTTGTGATGTGTGATATATATAATTTTATGTCTTCATTTTTGACAATTAATCTAAAAACATATCATTAAGGGCAGTCTTTAAAGAATCTCATTATTGTATATACTATATATTATCATTTTTCTAGCCTTCAAACATTCTTAAATATTTTCATTAATTAATTTTATTTAATCAAAATAAGTTGAAGAATTTAAAAATTTTTAATTATAGGAGATAAATATATATTTTTTGAAGTGATGCTCAAATTTTAAAATGCTATTTCGATTAGAAAACTATTACTAAATTTATACAAGAATTAAATATAGATTGAAATATGGTTATTTTTTGCCTAGTTTAAATTCTTTTAAATTTCGTTATTATTTTGATCCAATATTTTTCACCCTTCAAATTCTAAGCTTTACTTCCCTAATGCCCATCCTACATTATTTTGTTAATTTGGTGAGAAGAGGCTATCACAAAAGTTAATGGGTGACAAAATTATTAAATTTCGCCATCTGTTAAACATGTTGATTTAATTTCTTTTTGCTACAGTATCTCTGAAATTTTTTAAAATTTATTTTCAAAGATACGAATCAAATCTGTTATTAGGTTTCAAATAACTTTTTTATATAGTTATTTTTATTATAAAAGAAACTAAATATGTTTTTTTCTTCCTGTTTTCAGATTCAGTATTTACCAGCTCTAACAAAGAGACCATTCAAACTTCAGGAATTATACATCAATGCAGAATAGTTCAAAAAATAAAAGTTGGGCCTTTATTTTCATGTCCTAGCTGCAAGTTTACATCCTCAATCTGTTGCATAATGGAGAGACACTGTTATTCCTGTGATGGAAGAAACACTGTTTGTTTTTGTTGTGGTAAAAGTTTTATTTCATTTTCATCTTTGCAAACACATATATTTGTGCACATGGGAGAAAGGCCTCTTCATTGCGAGAAGTGTTTCAAAACATTTTGCTCAAAGACTTCGTTAATGACACACGTAAATGAACATTTCCGTAAACCTTGTTACGCATGCAGGAAATGTGGCTCAAGTTTTTATAATGTAACACATTTCTTTGCTCATTCTTTGAGCTGTACAGTACATAAAAACAGATTATTTAGTATTAATACTGCAACTAAGTAGTTTGTTAAATCGTTATTTGTTTGTACAAAATCTAATATTTATTTATCATTTGTTGCTTATTAGATCACATATGACACAAAGTTGTGTACACATTTTTGTTAACACTTTACGTATTTTATTTATTAGTAATTTATTGTTTATTGTTCTGCTTTTGTTTGATGCAAAAATAAAAATATTCTCATCTTAATGTTTCACACATAACATGGGATAATGATCTAACTATCAATTTTCTGAGATTTATAATGACTTGCTTTTTGAAAAGCACAAAAAAAGTTAAATTTTCTCCTTTTTTAAAGGTGTTTTATTTTTAAGTTTATCTTTTCTGTCTCAGAATGATTATTTATTTCCGTAACTTTACTGTTATGTTTCTTGTGTAACATGGAATGCCCACAAACTTTCTGAGATTTCTATGACTTTTCTTTTCAAAATTGCAAAACGTCCTACTTTCTAATGGTGTTTTTTTGTTTTATATTTTTTCAGTTTCAGAATAACCATTTCTTTCAGTAGCATTGTTGCTGTAATTTTTAGCCAGATTTTCATTTTTTGTGGTAACGAGTAATTTTTTAAAATTAAATTTAATTTAAACCTTTGAATACTTTTATCAACATTTAACATTAATCATTATACTATCGCTTGTACCCAAGTCCCTTTTAATGTTTTTTTTTAAAAAGAAAATGTGATTTTTAAATTTTAATTGTCTAATTTTGCATTTTAATATTTTCTTATAAAATTGTCTCTATTGCCATAAGAAAAGTAATCTTATGACTACAGAAAAAAAAAGATATATATTGGCTTCCTTGTCTAACTGTTGTTGCTTTAATTATTTTAAATATCATTCATTCCATAATTCTTTATATATTTATAAAAGAGAAGTTTGATATTAAATGTATAAGCTAAAATTTATTTAATAAAAATAATAACTCCTGATGAAACATCTTTCCGTGGTATGACTTTTTCCAATGAACAAAATCTGTTTCATAGAAATGTTGAATATATCAGTAAATAATACTATAGTTTGAGCTTATAGCATTTGTATTTTAATATGAATGTTCCTTCTTTTAGTTAGTCGCCGTCTCAATCCATTTAATATATAAGCCTACATATTATACAATGAAACCTATGAAGTTGACCATCCTTGCAAGTTGATCTCAATTTTTAAAAACAGAATTTATTATTTAATATAAAAGGGAGCAAAATCTTTAACTTAACTACCTGTCATCTTGTATGTTGGCCTCTAAAATGAACCAAATTTATCCAACACTGTTACAAAGTGCTATTCTAAAACTTCCCTATGTTGACCAGGGGAAAATTTTTTTTCTAAATTTTCTATGCCCTTTTGAATTTCACCAAATTAGGGAAATAGTGTAAAAAGCTAAGCTCTTACTTGCGAAGTATCCTGTTTTTTAACGAAGACTCTCGTATTTTAAGACTACCAGTATATTCTCACTTTTCTCCATATTTGTTGAAAAAATTAAAAAGAAAAGAAAAAAAAAATTGGTGCTAAAATATCTGTTGATGGCAAAAATGCTCCTTTAATTCCTCAACAGATAGTGCTATCGCTAGTACTGATGTTGAGTGTTAATAGTTTAAGTTATTATTAATGGTTTAAAAAAAATCTTCTTTAGGTTAAGATTTATATACATATTTTTTACTTCACTAAATGTTAGTATTTATATTTCAGATTATGAATTTCTCTTTTTGACTTGCATAATTATGCATGAAGTACCAAAACTTTACTCGGTAGCCTAAAAAATGTCCCTAGTAAAATCTTTGTTATTGTATTTCTCGAATGTTAGCAGGTATGTAACCTTAACCCCTTAGTGAGTTGACTACATGGTTCTTATCTGTTCTTCAAACAAATCTACTCATCCTTTTTTTGTTCTGATATATGTTCTCCAGAAAGCTGCTTGAACACTCTTTCTTCTAGTTTAAAAACAAAAATCAACATTTTATGGTGTTCTGATATTCCGAATATCTGTATTTGTAACAAATTCCCTATCACAGTCTTTTATTAAAATATAAAATGTTTTATCCTGTCCTCTAAAAATTATGGTGTTCTTTCAAAAAATGAAAAAAAGAACATCATTTCTAGAGTGAATTATCTTTTAAACTTCTGTGATTTCAGAATTATTTTATCAATTTAAAATTCTAGCTGAATCAAGCCAGTCATTGGCGAATTTTTTTTTATTCATTGAGTCATTGGAGTATTTCTTTCCTTTTAGAAGAAGTAAAGTATCTTTAGAATATAATTCTGCAGAAAAAAAGAAAATTATTTGCTTTTATATTTTTATTTTTTATCCTCTATTTTACTGCTTCAACTCTTTCTTTACTCTTTTTTTAAAATTTAAAATCTATGAAAATGCATAGTGTAACAGTTTTAGTTATATCTATCATTTGAATTAATGTTATTATGCTTTTTTTAAATTTATTTTTGTGTTTTTAGTCGGAGAAAATAGTAACTTCGTTAAGCCAGGAAAAATTCTTGAAATTAGTCATGAAAAGTCATATGGATTTGAAAATCTAAAATGTAGCAGATACCCTGTACATTCAATACAAATGTATTAAGCACCTAAATTTATTAATTCAGCACCTGTATTTTTTAGATTGGTTTTTATAATCTGTGTACTGATTTTGAATATACATAATTTTTTTAAAATTTAATCTATTTATTTTTTGCAAGCTATACTTCTATATATTTTTAGTGATTCAAGATAGTTCAGTTTTTACTGTAATTTTGCTACAAGTTAAACAATTTTTCTGTATGTTGCTAATCTAATATTTTATTCAAACTGATTTTGGATATACTATTTGGATTTTAAATGTGACTTATATAAATTTTATTGCATTTGTTATTCTTTTATCAGGCTATTTTACTATTATAGATTTAGAGTAGTTTTTTTATTAATAAATTTGGCAATTTTTTGATTAGTTTCAGCTTAACTACCCAAAATTTGCAATATATATACACTTCAAAATCAGTATATTGAGGTAGTATTAATATTGTAACACAATGAGGAAAAAAATAAACAAATTATTTTTTGAAATAATATGAAATACAAAAATTAAATTAAACAATGATTTATTTAACTGGATTTTGATTTTATTAACTACAAAAATTAAATTAAACAATGATTAAATTTAATTTAACTAGTCATTTAATGTAACTAAACAAATAATTTAATTTAACTATTAGATACTACCACAAGGAGCAGTTTCTTAAAAATTTGAAACATAAAAATGACAAGAACCTTGCATAAATCTAAAAATGTTAAAATAAAAAAAAAACACACACAATAAAATTCTGTCCAAGTAGTACAGGTTGCTCCATCTAGTGAGGTCAAAAAGAATTTTTTTTAAAGAAAAAGGTAATGAAACTTTTACAGGAAGGGAGAAAATGTGGCACCATTAAACTAAAACATAACTACTCTTTGTTTTGTGAAAGCCTCAAGTCAATAAAGTTCAATTAAATTTGACATTTATTCGATTTCTTTTTGATATTTTGATTGATTGATATGATATTAGCATTGTTTTGCATTAATGTTGTCTTCTTCCTCACAGAAAAGGGCGCTTTGAGTTTTGATAGGACACTCACTTAAAACCGTAAACATTTATCAAATTGTGTAATATGATATGGTAACTAAATTTGAATTTGATTCTTTAAAAAATTTTTTTTTTATTTATTAAAAAAGTAATTTTAGGATTTAACTTAGGTTTTAACTTTTAGGATTTAACTTTAGGATTTACTTGAGAAATTTATTAATATATCCAATTGGAAAAAGAGTAACTTTTAACCCATTGAGTATAATCCTGAGAAAGGAAATATTTGTAATATAGCAATCAGAATTAAACACAGATAATTTTTGTATATAAACACTGATAATTTTTGTGTGTAATTATTATTTTAACAGTTAATTAATTTTTCTTAAACTTGGATTATGGATAAGAAGGCAGTGTTTATAAAGGGTATCATTACTTTTCATTATATATATATATATAAATTCAAAAAGAGAAAAACAAAGAAAATTATGAAAATCAATAAGTTTTAGTTACTGCGCATAAGCTACAAGTATGTAGAATTCATAAAATAAGTTATAATTCTCTACACTTTGAACAAACTGAATTTCTGAAAGTAGAGATATTAGTTTATATCTCACCAAATATAATAAAATGCCTTCAACTCTAGATAACTAAATTTAAGTCAGTATTCTACAAAATAAGAAGTTGATAAGAATAGTTAAATATTCATTTCATGAACTACATTTTAAGAGCGTGCTGAATTTTAAATTTAATATTCTAAAAAAATATTTTTGTGGGTCATAGTTAGGGTTCTACAAATTATTATAAAATATATTTAATATTTAAAACTGAGTGACAATTAAAAGCAAGAATTTTTTAGAGTGTGTACTGGTTTTGGTTGACTTTTGGAGTAATTAAAACAGAAAAGAAAAACTCAATAAAAAATATCAACATTTTCTAGCCTATTGATTATATTACATAAAAGTTTTTAATTGCTATTAAGTTACTTTATACCTATATTTATTTTGTAATTATTAAATTTTGCAATGTGAAAATAGTCCAGAAGCTGAATATTTCTACAAACTTAGTCTTTGTTTTGTAAAAATTTAACTGTCGCTTAGCTTTAAAATTTAAATTTTCAGATAGTAACCAGTGGCCCGTAGGCTCTAGTGACTTAGTAGTCACTTTTTCTTCAAACCTAATGAGTCGATGAACCAATAATGATATGTCCTTTTCATTTAACAGTCAATTTTTGCAAACTTTGTTTTTTCTTTGATTTAAATTGTATTTTTGAAAAAAGTTATGTTATAAATATTCTACTGCTATAAAAAGTTAATTCAACAATTAGAAAAAATAAAAGAAATGTGTGATAAAATTTCGTGAAGAACTTTATGTAAAAATATTTGGGTAGGCAAAATATGTCACAACTTTGAAATATGTGAATTCTTAAAGAGCTTGCCTTCCACGTGAATCTTTCTACCACAAATTGATGACTCCCTACACAGGCCGGTCGGCCCTCAAAACTTTGAATAATACAATAATTTTGTTACACTTTTATGTATATGTAGGTGAAAAAGAATTTTCCATGAAGGATTTTTTTAGCATCATATCGTCCTCTTAAAACGTAGCACATAATTCATAATATACAGAATACATCTAATTCGAAGGCAAATTTTAACCTTAAAATCGAAAGAAAAAAACATCCTGAGTTGCGAATTAATTAAAGCAGACACATAAATGTACTTTCTGTGAATAAACATACCCTTTTTTCGACGAATTAGGTTTCCTGACCCTTGTGGAGCTGGGAGGTTACTGCTATCTAAGAAATGTATGGTTTCAATAGTTAATTCAGGAGAACATAAACATTCAACAATTCAGAAACATAATGATATATAAAAATTAGTTTGCATTAATATCAGAAAAAGTTCTTAAACTAAACTTAAAAGTAAGATACTTCTGATTAATGTAAAAATAATGTATTATTTAACAAAATAATAAGTAAAATAAACCTTTGATTTAGCTAATTTTAAAAAACTGTCGTAACATGAAGTTGGTGATTTTTGTTAAATTTGCACACAATTTATTTTGTGAAGTTTTCCAGAAGCGTAAAAATACATAAACGTTTTATAAAATTGCATATTAATGTTTATTTAAAGTAACACAGACTCACATTAGTAATTGAACTCAAAATTGACAAGATTTTTTAAGAAAAATGTAAGTTTTCATTTGGTTACATCTAAACTAAAAGTATTTATATCAATATAGTAGAAAATTAAATTATGTAAAAAGATTTTTACCTTTATAAAGAAACAGGGTGGATTTAAGAAAAAAAAAATCGTTTCACGAACCCTGAGGCAAAATACTAAATTTGAACGAAATTGGTCGGATAGTTCTTGTGAAATCAAATTTTAA